CAGTTGGTTAAGCATCTGCCTTCAGCTCAGGTCATGATCCCAGTGTGAGCCTGCTTCTCCCTCTCCCTCTGCCTGCCGCTCTATTTGTGCGCGCGCTCTCTCTCTCTGTCAAATAAATAAATAAAATCTTTAAAAAAATAGAAGAGGGACTATACAAAGATGGAAAGAAACAAGAGATTTGGACTCTAGGCCAAGCTCTGCCATTAACTAGTGTAAGCAGAATGACCTTAAATACATCTTCTTTTCTCTGGGTGTCCAGTTTCACCATGTGTAAATTAAGGAGTTAGTCCAAAATATGCAATTGAGCTTTATAGTCCTTTTCTAACCAAACCTTTATGATTCCATAAAATAGATGCATTAAATATTAGTTATTCCCTTTTTCTAAATGAGCAACATACCTCCAAGGGGTATCTGAAACAACTCTTTTATGTGAGACAATATATTAGAACTTTAATTTACATTTATCTAAAAATAAATAAAACTTAACTAATATTACTATACAGATTGGAAGTGGTATTCTCACAGAAAGCCAATGATCAAGTGTCATGTATCCTATGAGGTATGAGAATGGTAGGAAAGGTAGAGTTTCTCTACACAAAAGTGTTGAGCATGGCACCCACATTTCCCCATTCACTTGAAGCATCTTGCAATACACTGTAGCCGGTCTTGCCCTGTTTAGACTTCTGAAGCAACCATCATCCTAAGGTTAGAAAGAAATGATACCTTGGAAGTGTGAATTTTTTTTTGGCTGTGCTCGCTGACTCTATTTGAGTTCCAGAACTTTGTCCAGATATTTTCTAATTCTCCATGAAAAGCGATCTCACTTCCTCATCTGACCTCAATATCTTTAGCATAAACTTAATACTTGTAGACTTTAGACTCTACCACTCATTAGCTACCTTAGCATCCTATACATATGTTTATTTCTATAGTCACTCACTACTGTAGAGTAATAATTCAAGTTATAAAGGGGAAAAGGAGAATTGATTTTTTTTAATTTTTTTTTTAAAAGATTTTATTTATTTGCGAGAGAGAGAATGAGAGACAGAGAGCATAAGAGGGAGGAGGGTCAGAGGGAGAAGGGTCAGAGGGAGAAGCAGACTCCCTGCCGAGCAGGGAGCCCGATGCGGGACTCGATCCCGGGACTCCAGGATCATGACCTGAGCCGAAGGCAGTCGCTTAACCAACTGAGCCACCCAGGCGCCCGAGAATTGATTTCTTATACGGCATCTTGTTTCCTATGTATTACTACGAGAGTATGTTTTCTTTAAATTAGTATTATAATCTAAATTACAATTTAAGTAAAATAAAAATACTAATATTACTTAGCCAACTTATGTATTCTTTTTGTTATTTGACATTTTAGTCCCATTTCCCTTTCCTTAATTTAATAATATAGAAGATTTTTCATAACTTTTTTTCACAAAAAAAGCAATAAATTGGGCCATTTGGAAATCTAGAATTAGCATTTTTAAAAGGTACAATATTCCACCATCTACTCTACACCAACAAATTACCTTTAAAAAGTGATCTTTACTCTAGTTCCATACCTCAGGGCAGTTTTATAAGCAAGTTCAACTTAAAATAAGTTCCTTTTAGGACAGCAGAATTTTAGAAGGGATCCAACATGGAACCACTACAACATCACCCCAAATTAAATGGCATAAGATAAAAATATTTGTTATAAAAATATTCTCCTATAAGTCTCTTCCATGGTCTAGTAATTTAAAGATTGTCAGGTTACTCCTAGAAGCAAATTCAACTCTGAATGTCAATGAAATATTTGAAGTCCTATGCAATATCCTAAATTCCTGGCTTCGTTTCAAAAGATTAATTCTATCTTTACTAAAGTGATATCACCATCATTACTATGACATATAGTCTCCATATCCACCAAAGTCAAACAGCTTATAACAATGGTTAAATAGTTGAGGAGAAAACAGCACTTTTTCTCAACAAGTTAAATAAAGCTCTATCTATAGACTAGCTAGATTGTGAGCTCCATGTGGACAGAGTTTTGTCCATCTAAGATGTTCAGTGCTATATTCCCAGCCCCAAGAAAATGTTTGGCCAACAACAGACTTTTAATAAATGGAGGAATCTTCTGAACACAGCTTGATCCATAGCTTCAGGTGCTATCAAGGCCAGACTGTATTCTGGGCCTAGAAGAGCTGAACGTCCTAACCTTTAGAGTGCCAAGGGCCCATAAAATGCAAAGATGCCTCATCCAACAAAAGAAAATTATCTTTAAATAATTTAATATTTAAATTATCTTTAAATAATTATCTTTAAACTGAGGGGGAAAAAAAAAGGAAACATGTCAGGACCTCCTTCACTCACACCCTTAAAACGAACTTTATATACAGTAAATGAAGGTAAACCTTGGAGGCTTAAAAAGAATGTTTTCCTCCCTTTCCTCCCTACTAGCTGCTAAGTTTTACTGAGAACTTACTAAATCACAGATACTTCACATCGATTATTTGAATCACTCCTTACAAAACCCAAGAGATATGTACCATTCCCTTCCCATTTTTCAGTTGAAGAAACTAAGGCTTATCACATCCCCAAGATCATAGAGCATATAAATAGCAGTGCTGAGACCTACTAGACTGTTTTTAAATACTATGCCATATTGCCTCTTACATAATTATTTGCAAAGTCATCTGATTAATTTTCTAAAACAGAGTCCAAAGCTATTTCTTCCTTTCTCTTCCAAGTAGAAAAACTCCAGTCCAGGATCTGATTATGATAAGACTGATTAATAATGTAATGTAAAAAAAAAAAAAAAGAAAAAGTGCTTTTTTTCTGAACTAGTTTTAGAAGACCTATATTGTAGTCCTGGCTTCAATACTGTGTGACCTTAGACATGTTATTCCAACTCCTTGTGCCTCAATTTCTCATTTTTAAAATTAAAATAATAAAATCTGCTTTACTTAACATGATTGTTTTGAAAACTAAAAAAGGGGCGGCACAAAAGCAATTGGAAAAGCTGAAAATACTATATAAATATAAAAGTAGGCTAGTAATTCAGCATCCTTTTTAGCCTCTCCAGTTTCTTTTTCATATAATGAACTGCTAGCATGATCTTCTTTTGCCATTAAGGTATGTAACTATGTAACTATTCTGTACTGGCCATTATCCACATAAAATGCAATCTTTGACTCTCCAAAAATTTCCATCAGACTGATTATAAACCTTCTTTTCTAGCCACACTTGTATTTCCTCTGTTCCTTTAAGCCACACTCTGATTGCCCATCTAGCACAGTAATGTTATCCCCTTCTAAATCCATCCTGTTAATCCTCATTTCATCCCAAACCCTTTAAGTGTTCCCTACAAGTGGCAACTCATATGCCACATCAAACTGACTTCAGCCTGCTTTTCTAGGACAATTTCCAAACCCCTTTCCCCTAAAAACAGGGTTTTTCCCCTATATCCTAACCTTTACTAAATCCCCATCCCTCAATTCCTATGTATAGTTCCTTCCTTTTATCCAAGGAACAGTTGTTCTCTGATATTCTTGTCATTCTTTATTCTGAGTACCCACAGAATCCTAATTTATGTATCTATTCAAGTTTGGGAAGATAGACAAATCTTATTACTCTCATTTTTATAAAACAGCTCTACTTTGATCCATAAAGAAATGTCTCTACTTTTAAGCAGGTAGGCTAATTGATATGCTTTCTTTTTTCCCTCACTGCCCCTGCTCTTTATTTAGGCTCCATTCGTGGTAGTGATGCCTGCATTCTTCCCATCCTCCTGCTCCCTCCCGGCCCAGATCTAGCGTCCTGAGGAGAACTGAGCATGCTCAGTAGCCACAGCCAATTCCGGATGCAAACTGGCATCTTTTGCAGATTTTGAGCCCAGCAGGAGAGGTAAGGTCCTAAAAATACAGTGGCCCAGAATTTGCCCACTCCCCCTGAGGTATCATTTGATGTAAAGATGTGTTCAAAGCCTAGAAATGGACTTGGAAATGGACAGCCTGCTGCCAGTCCCTAGTCTGCAAGGTGGGTCACCAACCTGAGTAACAGAGAGCTGAGAGGAGCCCCTTTTCCTGGTTTGGCGCAGGGAGGAGGTTTCTGCTGCTCTGAGCTGTGATAGTGCTGATAGATGGCTGGAAGCTTACATTTGGCATTTCTGTTGCGTCAAGAAAATACTGTTGTTGTTGTTGTTTTTCTTTTTTTCCTTGAACACAGCAACATCAGCTGCTCCAGACTGAGAAAGATGTTGCCTGAAGAGCTACAAAGTCTGTGAGCCAGCCAGAGAGATTGTGGAGAGGATAGGCAAACCGACAACTTACCCAAGAATTAGATCTAGGGAGGTGTCTTAAGACCCAGAAATAAACAGGCTTTTTCTAAATGACAATTCAGGAACCTTTCAGATATTCAACGCTGAATTGTCTGCTTGTCCCCCCAAAACACACACCTTCTTTGTATGTGAACCATGACACATTTCCTTTTAAGAGACTGACAGAATACACACACACACACACACACAAATCCTCCTGTTCTCCTTTCCCCTGGTTTCTGCAGACTAAATCTCTGGAGCTGCAACAGCAGCAGATTCCCTTACCTCACTGCCAGGGGGGTGAGGCATAGGGAGGAAATTTATCATGAATGGAATATGATAAAAAAAAGGGGGGGCTTCTTTGCAGGGTCTTCAGCCACCACTGCACAGCCTGAGAAACAGAGATAGGCAGAAACCGGCTGGAAGAGAGACACACAGCTGCCCCTGCTGCTAAAACCTAGCCATCTCTTCCAACAGCAACAGACATGAGACATTTCATCACCGTAGTGCATCCATATTGAGAAGAGGGGGGAAAAAATCATGTGCTTTGCGTTATGCATTTCAGTCACCCGAGATGGGAGGAGACCCCTGTCCATATGTCGTGGGAGCTATCCACCACCCCAAAAGTACGATCACTGCATCTAGCCAGCCGACCGCTTGCCTGACAGGTTTTGCAGCAAATGCGGTTAATCTGTGACAGCAGGTTGTCTCTTACCGTAGGCAGCAGCGGCTCCATTTGAGCTCCCTGGTCTTTAATCTCCATGTTTTGTAACGCCTCTGGAATAAGCACCTTTCTCTGCAGTGTCTTCAGTGTCCTACACTCAGCCCGGCACTCGCTCTGCTTAGTATTCGGATCAGGTAGCTCTGAAGCAGGAGGCAATTGCACACTCCAACTCACCAGAGTCACATGGCTCCTACTCACTCGGGCTGCTGGCCAGGTTTTGCACTGAATGCCTTGGATCCCTGGGCCGGTAAGAGCGATCTCCCAAGCCCTGTGTCACTGCCCACACCTGGCTACTGGTATAAAATACAGCCTGCAATGCTGCAAGTCTAGTGGACATTAAGAATCTCACCTAAGATGCTAACTTCTTATACAGACTCATCCAAGGGGGACTCCAACCAGCTCAGCCAGATTTTAACACTTTGAGGCACTTCACTTCATTCCCAGAACCCCACAGAGAAGGAGGCATAGTTCAAACAAGAGGATGTTAATAAGGTGTACTAGATGTCCTGCTCCGAGTACATGGGGTCTTTAAAAACAGAAAAGATGACATCAAAATTGACATGCCTTAGTGAGACTGAACTATGCATTAACAACATCATTTAAGTCATTGTTGACTCAGTAAGAATTGGGCAGACAGATACTTTCAATATTTTAATTATGAAAAACTTGGGTAAGTCACACACTATCACAAATAAAATATATTTTTCTATGATTTCCCAATAAAAATAATAAGGAAAGAAAGTATTTTGATAGTAACAATTATCAAGATACTCAAGCATTTTGAAAAGAAAATGAATCTGACAAGAGTAGCCTAAGCATGTACCCTTTTGCCTTAAAAGTCTCAACAAAAGAGGAGTACAGGATTCTCTAACCCATGGGAGAAAATGAGTCAGAGGAGCTCTTTTGTAGGGAAAAGAAGGTGATAATGGCTGTTGAGTGACCACATATTTCCTAGAATTAATTGTAGATCCAGAGTATTTTAAGTAATGAAACCCATGTATCACTGCATCCCAGACTGAGTACAGAGGTTACAAATAAAGAGGGGTTAAACGAGTATGACTAAAAATTATTCAGATAGCTTATCTTAAATAAGATTTTCACCAGATTTAAAAAACATTCATCAGCAGGAGTGAATATTAAATTATTTTCAGCAACACACCAAAATTTTCCACAACATTCCTCATAGGTGGAATTATTAATAAATTTCATCTGTTTACCTTCTCAATATAATTCGTTATAATAAACTATTATTTTGATGATAAGAAAACATTTTTTATAAACTATAATGATTAATATATTTGAGTAGCAACTCTGTGCACAGCACATAGAGATGATACCAAGGACTTAAATAACAAGATGCTGATTGGGAATTTGCTAATTTGGGGTCCAACTTGACTTTCTACCATGGACTGATAAATAAAAGCTCTCTTTCCACTCACATGACCATAGTAGATTATCACAAACTTAATAGAAGAAAAGTGATAACCTCTCTAGAAAGATTATTTCTATCTCATTAGGAAACCCTAAGTCATCCAGTTTATATTTGTTCAAAAAGAATTCAAATATAACTACGAAAAAGTCTGACTTTTTTATTCCAAGAGGCAAAATAAAAATAAGATAGTATTTTAAATTACATTTAATCAATATTTTCCTACAGTGTATATTATTAAACCATGTAGGTACTTTGCTGGAACAACTATTTCCTGAGTGTTCACTATACGCTAGAGCTACTATTTCTATCAACATAACAGGACTTAGCCAGAGTTTCAACAGCAGACATTCTACTTCTAGAGATCCAGCAAGCCCATATCTCTACAGTTCTCTGATCCAAAACACTGAATGCTAGCTTAGCAAAAAGAAAAGTGGGGAAAGAAAGTGATCCTCATTTAACCCACTACTTCTATCTTACACTCTAAAGACGTTAGAATTAAGGCCCATATCCTGAGAAAATATTTCCACATAATAAACAAGTCCCAATGAGAAGATGAGAATGGAATAGATAACTTCTGGGAAGAAAAGCATCACTAGGGAGTGGAATTTTTACTAAAAAAACCATAGAGTTTTACAGATAGGCCCTTGGAAATCAACTTCTCCATTCTTTTTCAAACTCAGAAAGTAAAAAGAACAGAGGTTAGGGAAGAGAAAATCCAACTTGTGTGAGGAGCTTTTTTTTTTTCCCCAACTACATACTGTCCACCTTGGAGATTGTGATATGTCCTTGGTGGAGGCTAAGAAAGGAAATAGCTGGGATATACTTTTTGAAAAATACCCCAGGTAACTTTTACATTTCTCCAAGTCCAGAGCTCTTTCCACTACAGTTAAGCTTCCTTGGATTCTAGATTAAAAATGAGTTACTCTATAGCCTGTTCTATTTAGAAACCCAGTGAGATTTCATTAGCACAATTTGACAGCCATAATTTCAAACATAACATTAAGTATTACAAAGACTGAATATGTCCAAGGAACTGAATGTTCCAGACATTTTACTGGAATGAGCTAACAGTCCAATTTTCATTCAGTCAGTCCTACTATGTGCAAGGCACTGTGCTACTAATGCTATTTCCTGTCATGCTGAGCAATACTAATGTGGAATTTTCCTCTCTGAAGAATGAAATAAAAGTAGCAATCGGACACAAGCCAACCATACAAAGGGGAATTACAGAAATCACTAAACAGAAGAGCCATCTTCCTTTCCAGCTGCCCATGTAGTGGCCAAGAGAAAAGGAACACAGCCACCATGGTGTGCTTCCTTCCTTGATCCATCTGGCATCCTGGGACTCTTGCTGACCTCAAATTTTACTAATCCCCCCAAGTATGCAAGTCAGCGTGGAGCCAATGTCCTTTCAGTTCCTACCTCCTTTTGCTATTTTAAGCCCTGGGGGTTAAGATATGCACATTAATATAGTGTTTATCTTAGAGAAGAGGCTATCTAATATTTTATTTGATACATCTAATTGTATTTGAAGAAGACACTGAATTCTAAAGGTTACTACTGCCAACGTTAGTACTTCAAGAAAACATTTTTTCATCCTGGTAGTATTGGGTTCTGGCTTAGATCTGAAAGTCCTTTGCTTTGACTCTTTTTAGTACAAAAGACCTGAACTTTAGGTAGGCAACAGATCAGAAATATATTCTGAACATTAATATTATGTTGTTGATAATAGTATTAACTCAAGATTAATATTTTTAAATGACTATTTTTCACATACGTCAATGGGTCAGAGCACTGTTCATATCATTTACTTAAGTGTTATCTCCTTTGTACTTCTATCCTTTGGGACCTGTAAATGTTCTGAACAACTTGAAGTGTCTTATGTAGATTTAATAGATTTATCAATCTAAAAGTGCTTAGCTGAATTTGACAAATTCAAGAAATACCCAAACTGTTCTTTCTTGACAACTTAAAAAATGATGACGTCTGACCATTTAGGAAAGGTAAGAATGCTCACTCCCCAATGTTGCATACCATAAAGAACCTCATTGTATAACACTAGAGTTTAAAGGTGGCAAATCTTACTCCTTTTTACAGACGTTCTTGGCCACCAATCTGATAGGCAATCAACTACCAAAAAAGGAATATATGAAATAAGTAATTAAAAAGTCCACTCCAATGTTGGGCAAATATCCAGATTTAAGAGATACCTGAAGTTCCACTTCTCTTAGTTCATGACTGATTTTTCTAATCCTGAATATTGAAACAAAGACTTGATTTTCACTCTGCTCCAATTTACCCATACAGGAATACCTAAAAAAGACCTACTCTGTAGATTGAGTACTAGAAGACAGCATCTTAACCCAGTTCAACTCAATTCAATAAATTTGCAGGAGGGGAGGGGGTTAGGGAAATGGGTGAAAGTGACCAATTATAAAATAAATAAGCCATGGGGATGTAATGTACAGCATGGTGATTATAGTCCATGATACAGTATTGCAAATTTGAAAGAAGTGAGTCTTAAAACTTCCCACAAGAAAAAAAAATTATAACTTTCTATAGTGTCAGTTGGTAACTAGGTTTATTGTGGTGATCATTTTATAATGTATACATATGTTGAATCATTATGCTATATGCCTGAAACATGGGACTCATGAATAATGATTATTTTATTGTAATTCTTCAAAACATGGTATAGAAAAAGGACAAGTTAAGGATTATTTAGCTACAAAATTAACTCTGTAATAAGCGTGATGTTGATTATTTTCAGGTTAGGAATAGAAATGCATTCAGGGGGCGCCTGGGTGGCTCAGTTGTTTAAGCGACTGCCTTCGGCTCAGGTCATGATCCTGGGATCCCGGGATCGAGTCCCGCATCGGGCTCCCTGCTCAGTGGGGAGTCTGCTTCTCACTCTGACTTTCCCCCTCTCATGCTCTCTCTCTATCACTATCTCTCTCAATAAATAAATAAAAATCTTAAAAAAAAAAAAAAAAGAAATGCATTCAGGACCATTTGACAAAGACTGTGATCGCTGGGCTTAAAGGCTGATAATTGGAGACGTAGTAAGTTGAGGCATGCATATACTTCTAGCTTACATAACAAGTAAAGGAAAATTTGATTTTTTTTCCACAAAAAGAAATACCCTGAAGATTTTAGATCTCTATTATAAAGGGGAGAAAAATATTATTGGAAATTAATCATTTTGTCTTCTGGTGTACCTCTGTTTTTTGTACATATTTTTACTTAAGCACTTGTCAAATGATATTATATTTCTTCTCTTCTAAACTGTGACCTCTGTGAATGTAGGATTCATGTTTTGTTTGCTCCTGTATAACTGCTAGTACATGGTGGGTACTCAATTGTTTATTTGTATGTTTAATTAATTAATTAATTTTTATTGAAGTATAATTGATATATAATATTAAATGTAATTATCTGAATTATCTATCATTTTCTTTCTCTCCCCCAACCCCAAACTGGGGCTCACCTAATGGAGAAAAAACACACAGCCCTTTCTCAAGGGTGCACACTGGCAACTAAAGTTCCTTTCCAATTCTTCCCCTCCTCCATTCCAGAGAATCTTTTGCTATGGACAGCCTAGTTCTTCATCTTTCCTTACAATGCTATTATTTAGAAACTGCGTATCCTTTGAGTTTAGGCTTCTGAAATTTAAAAGTGGCCTTTTTTTTTTTAAGTAGGCTCCATGCCCAGCATGGGGCCCAAACTCACCACCCTAAGATCAAGACCTGAGCCGAGATCAAGAGTCAGACACTTAACCAACTGAACCACCCAGGTGTCCCAAAA